GAGAGAGAGAGAGAGAGAGAGAGAGAGAGAGAGAGAGAGAGAGAGAGAGAGAGAGAAGGAACGTTATAAAATGCATTGAATTTACTTGACGCTTCAGTGTACTTTTTATTTCTTTATGTTTGTCTTACGAAAATAACGAATAAAGATATGTCTCGGATATCACAAACGCTGAAGGGTTTTGAATTATGCACCTCTATGCTCAATCGTCGTCCAGATGATACGCGATAATTTTGCATGGACATATTATTTGTCGAGGAGTCCGAAGCGAACGCGAGTCGCTCAATTCAAGTTTCAACGAGCTGACAGGCCGACTACAGGTTGTCATATTAAAGTACTATTGTTAGCACACGTAATACTTATCTCACACAGACATAGAGACATTTATATAACTGTGCCTTAGGCTAGAAGGCAATATAGCATAAACACGATTTCAACTTTACTGGCTTCCTCCGTTGCTCCAAGTTTTTTTACATCGCCCCACTTGGTCCTTGCAAATCTTTTTAGCGAAATACGAATTTTCCGTGTCTCGCGGCTCTATAATACGACATAAAGGACATAAAGAATATGTTCCGCCGTTAAATTGTAGACACGTATACTGTATAAATGCGTTTTTCGTCGCGCACGACGACGCGCGTATTTTACATATCGGTGTGAAATTTTCATCGCTGTACGAGTTTCTGATTTGGAGGCGGTTTATTCGGACTTCTCTTCAATACAGCGTTATTTTTCCGAGACATTCCTGTAAACGTTTGATTTCGGCGAGGAGAACTCAGCGGCTCCTACAGCGAGAGAACGATTTTAGATCTTGAATCGTGTAAAATCGAGAGCTCTATCTCTCCTTACATATATATTTTACATGTATATCACGTGTATTAATTATGAAGTTTGTTAATTCGAACCTGATCTATGTCGCGTCTTTGTAAAACAGAATATATGTGTATACATATATATGTATATATATGTATGTAATGTATATTCGTTCCTAAGAGAGGGCAAATGCACGTTTCTCATCTCGTGCGTTTTAACTGCACCAGATGGTACTCTCCATTATTCCGTAGAAAAGAAAAAAGAAAGCGATGCAATTAGTATGCACAACGCATAAACATCCCTTAGATACTACTACGTTAGTGAGATTTTATTACAGATATACCAAGAATTTGTTGTATATGATCTATATACGATTGTTATACGTATAATTATATATATCATTACCGAGTTTTTGCGGTTTTGCTTCATGCGTGATCACGTCGTCACGTGCGATTAATCTATTAACAGCGATTTCGTTAACACTCGTGTTTGAATAAAAGTATTCTATTAAAGAATGTACCATGCAAGACTTCTGATGTATTCGATACCACAGCGAGTAATTATACACTTTTGCATAATCCCGTCGATTACGTGTCGGGATTGGTGAATCTCCAAGGCTGATTTGAAACTTAAATCTAAATTTATAAATTATTCGTCGTTAATATCCTATTTCATTTTTTTATTTATCAAGAACTCAAAATGTAAGAAATAATCCATTCTTACAGAAATTCAATTTAATATTGAAAATTACTTATTTTAAGTAAGAAAAGAAAAGAAGGCTTTACTGAAACTTATATAAAAATTTAGCTAGCTGTAGATTTGTTGAATTATCAAAACAATGGCTGCGTTCAGCAGAGAAAGTAGCTTTGCAACTATTGTAAAATTCTTCAATATGATTGGTTCTTGCTTTTGATTCCTTATGGATCTAAATGTATAAACCAATCATATTGCAAAATTTTATAACAGTTGCAAAGCTGTTTTCTTCGCTGAATACAGCTATTTATATAGGATACTCAAGTTGATCGCTAGAATATCGCTAAATTTTTTACAGCATGTTCCTAATCATGTTTGAGTTTGCTACATAAGCCAGTATTTATAGTTGAGAGATTCTTATATTTGAGAATATTAAGTACAGTCTTATGATAATCATAAGCCAATCAGAGAGCTGCATTAGCATCTTAAGACGTTACTTAAGACGATCTTAAAATAGAAACAGACTATGAATACTGTCCATAGTTTGAGTTTTTCAAATACTTGATTAAAATCGGATCAGATACTAGATTAATCAGACCAGAAATATTGAGATTTCTGGATATATCAAATTTTAATTGGATATTAAAGTTTTAATACCATTAATAGTTTTAACATTAATTATTTCTTCGGGTGGGGATTAAACGAGTTGGAATAAACATAGAAAAAACGTTTTGTAGATAATATAAGATAAAACGCCGGGAGATCGTGACTTCGAGCAAGCATCCTCGTGACGCCAGACAGTTTCCAAAAGGGGTAGCATCCCTGGAAAGGGAGCGCGTAGGTAGAACCAAAGTGGAGTAGGTCAACTCATAACCAGACCGCAATCCACGTACGTCTCCCTACGCGTCTATATTTTCGGTCATATCGGAAGGTCGCGTCCACCCATTGCGGTAAGAACGTCAAAGTATAAGACCTATAAATGCTGGAGAGAGACGCGGGGGGTGAGTTTGACTTTTTTCATACTCGTTTCTCGTACGGTATTTACGTCATCGGTTTAAGATCAAATCTGTTTCACTTCACACGAAAAACTTCGTTCTCATCCTCGTTATATCGTTAAGCTGTTGCCCGCGTTCCATCAAAGATTGTTGACAATAGCGTGCTCTGAGATACGCCACGTTACTAAATATAGCAGGCCGGTACATAGAGAAAAAGGACAAAGCGAAGGTTTAGATAAGCATCGCCATGACAACTCGTGATTTAGTGCTGTGAACGTGGGGCTTTTATACCACCCTCTTAGTTATCAAAGGACTAATGGCAATCTAATTCCTTGAGTTGTTAGGTGTTAAACTTAATTCCTACCGTTTTTCGTCTCAAAATTGATTTGTTTCGAAGGGAAATTCCTTAATCAAAGTATTGTTACTAAAGTATTATTAATTAGTAATAAAGTAGAAAATGGATGAAATTACTTTGATTAAGGTATTCATTCATCTTTCCTTCGAAACAAATCAATTTTAGAGACGAAAAACGGCAGGAATTAAGTTTAACATCTAATAAATAACGTTTCATTACTTTTAACTTTAATGTCAAAATATATATCCATTTCTGCAATTATTTTTAAAGTAAACAATATCCATATTAACGTATGCACTTAGTAAATAATAAACTAAATGATCTGAGTCAAATTTTATACATTTTCTTCAATTAAACTGTTTAATTTCATTATTTTAATTAAATTAACGACATATAAATAGAAGCAGATCTACAGAAATAATTCAAAATTATGCAAATTGGGTATAATTTGACATTTGACATTATAAATTTAATAGTTATGCATATATAAGAAGATGGATTAGAGACTTTTTGCTCAGAGGAGGAAAGAGTTTGCTGGAAGTATCTAAAAATTTAGCTAGGCTTAGTACAGATCTGAAAATAATTTTGTTGGACCATCAAAATAATTAAAATAACATAAGAATCTTGAGCATAATAATCGATGCTGTAAAAAGTTTTGAGATTCTAGCAAAAAGTTTGAGCGTTCTACACAATTATGTTGATGTCGAATAAAATTATTTTCAGATCTGTACTAGCTAAAAATTTTTAGATACTTTTAGATACTCCAGCAAAAACGTCTTTTCTGTACAGTAACGTTTCTTGGATATGACAAATGTTAAGGTCGAGTTAATTTCGTACAGCAAAAGCCAGGAGAAACCTTTTCAGTCGAGCTTCACTAATTTTTGGCTGTAGCATCATGGAAAAATGTCTCGATTTTAATCGCGTAGCAAGATTTCCGCAAAAGCAACCCTTTAAGTGATACTACGTAAAGGACTTTCGTGGCTACGTCGCTCGTTGCTCGCATTCGTAATTGGAGCGTTCACCGTACAAATCGAAGGGCACAGGTGTTTCCCTTTAATGCCTCGAAGACAAACTCCCTAATCTTCTTTTATTGGCAATCCCCGAAACAGAATCGATTCGGCCAGACAAGCTCCCTAATAACAATAACAAAGAGAATTGGCGGTCATCGGAATTCCATCGGAATGCGTCGCGACGCGTTTCCACGACACCCCAGTGGACACCCCTACTCCCTTCCGTGATCGGGTCACTCGGTGACCGATGACGCTCGGTACCGAGAGACGTTCGGCTGTGAACTAAAGTCGGGCACAGCGCGAGACGAGACTTCCTCGGTCACGCCGTGCGGATAAATCGGGATACGGG